TTTTTTTTTTTTTGCAGTTTTTGGCCAGGGTCGGGTTTGAACCCACCACCTCCGGTATACTTTGAGCCAGAGGCGCCACCCCTGGGGTCTTACTCTTGCTAAGGCTAGTCTCAAACTCCTGAGCTCTGGCAATCCACCTGCTTTGGCCTCCCAGAGTGCTAGGATTACTGGTGTGAGCCACAGCACACAGCTAAATTGCCTTAGTCTTTGTTTCTTTTTCTTCCTTTTTTTTTTTTTATTGTAGAGACAGAGTCTTACTTTATCACCCTCAGTAGAGTGCCATGGCGTCACAGCTCACAGCAACCTCCAACTCATAGGCTTAAGTGATTCTCTTGCCTCAGCCTCCCGAGTAGCTGGAACTACAGGCACCTGCCGCAACGCCCAGCTATTTTTTGGTTGCAGTTTGCCCGGGGCTGGGTTTGAACCCACCACCCTTGGTATATGGGGCTGGTGCCCTACTCACTGAGCCACAGATGTTGCCCTTTTTCTTCCTTTTTTAAAATGTTAAACATTATTATTACTTTGTAGCTTCTTTAAACATTGATAGATGATTGGGTTGTTTTCATTTTGGGGTATCACACAAATAATCCTGCAGTGAATAACCTTGTACATGAAAATTTCTCCTATTGTCAGCTCTTACTTATTCAGCATCTACACACTAGTACACACCAGTACGTTAAACATAATTTTTACCTCAGTGGAGCTCACTTTCTGGTGGGAGGGGAGTAAGTGAAAAATATATTAGATGGTGATTAGGCTTCAGAGAAAAAATAGGAAACTTTGAGAAGGAAGCTTAATTTCATTTCATCTTATTTTATTTTTCGAGACAGAGTCACAACCTGTCACCCTGGGTAGAGTGCCATGGGGTCACAGCTCATAGCAACCTCAAACTCTTGGGTTTAAGCAATTCTCTTGCCTCAGCCTCCCAAGTAGCTGGGACTATAGGCACCCACCACAATGCCTATTTTGTTATTGTAGTTGTTGTTGTTGTTTGGCAGCCTGGGCTGGATTCGACCCCGCCAGCTCCAGTGTATATGGCTGGTGACCTAACTGCTGAGCTTCAGGCGCTGAGACAGGAGGCTTAATAGGACAACTAAGGGGAGGCCTTTATTTGTATGAAAACCTGAAGGAAGATGAAACAAATCTGAGAGGAGAGGATCCCAGATATAAGAAATAAGGTACAAAAATGCCCCCACAAGGGGTGTCCAAACTTTTGGCTTCTCTGTGCCACATTGGAAGAAGAGTTGTTTAAGGTAACCTCAGCACTTGAGAGGCCAAGGCAGGTGAATTGCATGAGCTCACAGGTTTGAGACCTGATCTCTAAAAATAGCCAGGCATTTGGGCACCTGTAGTCCCAGCTACTCAGGAGGCTGAGGCAAGAGGATTGCTTGAGCCCAAGAATTTGTTTTTTGTTTTTTTTTTCTGAGATAGAGCCTCAAGCTGTCCCCTTGGGTAGAGTGCTGTGGCATCACAGCTCACAGCAACCTCCAATTCCTGGGCTCAAGTGAGTCTCCTGCCTCCGCCTCCCAAGCAGCTGGGACCACAGACGCCCACCACAACACCTGGCTATTTTTTGGTTGCAGCCATCGTTGTTGTTTGGTAGGCCGGGGCTGGATTCAAACCCACCACCTTAGTTGTATGTGCTGGCACCTTAGCCACTTGAGCCACTGGTGCCTAGCCGAGCCCAAGAATTTGAAGTTACTGTGAGCTATGACATCACGGCATTCTGCTGAGGTTGAGAAAGTGAAACTCTATCTCAAAAAATAATAATAAATAAAATAAAATACTAATCAGTATTTTTTCTCATCAGAAAAAGTATGCTGATGAGAAAAAAGAAAAAAGAATGAGGAAGAAAGACGGAAAGAGAAAGAAAGAAAGAAAGTCCATGCATAATTTTCATGATATTTGCCAACACAAGATAAGCCAAAACTCCTTGAAATCTGTGGTTTCAAGGGATGATGTCCTAGAATGGCAAGAAGGCCAGTTTGGCTAGAACCCAGGGAGGGAGGAGCAAAGTGGTAGGAGATGAATTCAGATTATAGAGGCCTCTCTGGCCATTGTAAGCGCTTTGGCTTTAACTCTGAGGTAAAGTGGGTATCCTTGGAAGGGTTTTGAGTAATGACAGGATGTGATTTATGTACAAGAACATCTGCTCTGACTGTTTTATTGGGGATAGCCTGGAGGAAGGCAAAGGAAGAAGTAGAGACTAATTTAAGGTGACTTGATTTTAACATTGGTAAAGCCGGACACCACTGGGGGGGGGCCTGGGGGGGCCGGGCCTGACAACAATGCAAAATTTGATAAGCTCAAATTTGATAAGTTCTCAACAATTATTTGTTATTATTAAAGTTTAACATTATAAAATTAACAACAATAATATAAAACTCATATCCTGGCGAAATAGCCACGTGGCAGCCGAAAACTGTATATTCCCTTCTTGTTCTCCCGTGTTCCCTAGCTTGTCGTGCATTCTTTCCAAAAATCAGGGCTTTTTTAAAACACTGCAGGACGCAGGACAAATTGTTAAAAATTAGGACTGTCCCACCAAAAGCGGACGTCTGGTTACCTTACTCTAGAGGGGGGTGGGGGCTACTTGTTTGTTCCAGACAGTTTGGCTCCTTCTGAGCTAATTGTCCTTGCCTAGAAGCAAGGGAGGGGGCCAGTCTCCTTCTGATACCTTGCCCAGGAGGGGAGTAGGAAGTTTACATTAGCCTTTTCATTTATAAAATGAAGTTACATTAACCTCTTAATTCCCAAATGGAGTTACATTAACATTTTCAGCAGCCGAAAACCGTATATTCCCTTCCTGTTCTCCTGCTGTTCCCTAGCTTGTCATGCATTCTTTCCAAAAATCGGGACTTTTTTAAAACACCAAGGGACATGGGACAAATTGTTAAAAATCGGGACTGTCCCTCCAAAAGCTGGACATCTGGTTACCTTAGACTAATTAGGTTTTTGTAGCAAGGTGGGGCTGTTTGGGATAGGATTAAGGAGGTGGTAATGATAAGGGAATTTTGAATCTACTAATTAGGTTTTTGTAGCAAGGTGGGAATGTTTGGGACAGGATTAAGGAGATAAGGGGTTTTTGAATTTTGAATCTACTTTGAAGATAAAGTGGATGGGAGTTTCTAAGGGATGGCACGTTGGGTAAGGCAGAAAGGGAGAAATTAAGGGTCTCTCAGGTATTTGACCTACACAACAGGAAGAATGGAAGAGTCATTATCTGAAATTAAGAAGACTGGGAAGAAAGTGTGTGAGTGTGAGATTAGGAGCTCACATTGGTCTTGTCAAGTTTGCAGTTTCTTTTTATTCTCTTTGTTTTTTACAGGGTCTCACTAGGTCACCCTCGGTAGGGTGCTGTGACGTCACAGCTAACAACCACCTCCAACTCTCGGGCTTAAGAGATTCTCTTGCCTCGGCCTCCCAAGTAGCTGGGACTACAGGTGCCCACCACAACACCCCTCTATTTTCTTGTTTAGCTGGTCAGGGCCTGGCTCGAACCCACCAGCTTCAGTGCATGTGGGCTAGCGCAGTAACCACTGTGCTATGGACACCAAGCCAAGTCTGTGGTTCCTAATAGACATCCAAGTGAAGAGGTTAAGTAAACAGTTTGAGTCTTGAGTGCAGGAGAACGATCCGAGGTGGTAATACAGATTTGGGGATCATCCACATATAAACAATATTTAAAGCCATAACAGTGTGTGAGACCACCTGGGAAGCTAGCCTCCGTTAAAAAAAAAAAAACAAAGAAGCACTCTGGGAGCCCCAGGCAGGAGGATGGATTGAGGTCAGAAGATCAAAACCAGCCTGAGCAAGAGACCCTGTCTCTACTAAAAATAGAAAAAGTAACCTGGTGTCCTGGCAGGTGCCTGTGGTCCCAGCTACTGAGGAGGGTAAGGAAGGAGGATCCCTTGAACCCAGGACTTTGAGGTTGCTGTGAGCTATGATGAGATTCTGTCTCAAGGGAAAAAAAAAATCTTTAGAAGGTTAGGTCTGGAGCCCTAAATCTTTGGCATTCCCAGGATATAATGAGAAGATAATAGGAAAGGGGACGTCAGTGGCAAGTGACATAGGTGTGGCAGAAGGCAAGTGAAATAACTTGAGGAATGAGAACACATGTTTAGATTTACGTTGTGGAGGTCATCGGTGACCTTGAGAAGTTTTGTTACCATGTTGAAGGGTGAAGAAGACCTGATTGGTATTTTAGGGTTCTCCAGAGAAACAGAAGCAATAGGGGACAGACAGGTGAAGGAGATTTAGGAGGAAACTGGCTCACACATAAGTTACTTTGAAAAGATGTTTTCACCGTTCCCTGTACTGTTAAGTCCTAGCATGTGCTCATGTTTTTCTAGAGACAACGTCTCTAACTTTCAAAGGTGTTCAGAGGAGGTCCTGACCCCCAGAGTAGGGATCACTGCCTTAAGATAAGCTATCGTGGCTGGGCGGGACGGCTCACGCCCGAAATCCCTGCACTTTGAGGGCAGAGGCGGGAAGATCGCTCGAGGCCACGAGGGGGCGAAAAGCAGCTGTCCTCTGCCTCGTGGAACCGCGCCTCGCCGGCTCCTGGCTGGCCCGGGACTGTGCTCCTGGCGCCCTCCCGCGCAGTCCTCCGAGGTATGGTCCCAGCAGAGGTCGCTGCTTCGCCACTGCCGCCGCGCCCGCGCCCCTCCCGGCCCGCTCTCGCCGAGCGGGCGCCGGCGGAAGGGGAGGGGCCGGGGCGGGGCGACCGGGGGTACTACACTCGGCGAGACCACGGGGAGGGACGAGTGGCCCTGACGTGCAGGTGAGTGCGCCCCTGCTGGCGCGCAGTGCCGCGCCCCGCTCTGTTACGGCACCCCGCGCGCTTGTGACACTGCAGCGGCGAGCCCCTCGGCCCGCCTACGGTCCTGCCTGGTCTCCGCGTGAGTCCCCGGGTTCTGCCGAGCCTTGCCAGCCTTGCTTGGGACGCCCCCTAGGCGAGGGGTCGCGCAGGGGCTGTGGGAACTGGATGGGCAAAGCTGTCTATCCCTGGGCCCAGTCATTCCTGCTGGCTCCCAACGCAGAGCCGGAGCCCAGAAACGGAGTTGTCGGGTTTCCTTTGACCTTGGGAAGCCGAGAAGGTACACAGCCCGCAGCGGTCGGAAGGGAGCGAGGGGAACTCGACTCTTGTCTCATCCGGCAGCCTTCGAGGTCCCCGAAGGGAGGGGGTTTTAGCAGCAGTAGACTGCAAAGCATTTAAACGACGCTCTCCATCTAACAGAGCAGTGAACAGGCTCAGGAACGGGGAGTGATTCCTAGCATCAAGCAGGTCAAGGACTGTATCGCCTCTGTATCCCAGGCATTGCTTTTTTTTTTACAGTCCTTGGTTGTTTGTATATCTACTGAAGATATCCCCAGAATCCGTGGGCTGCTTGTCATACTCACCCCCCTAGTCATGTCCACACTGTTGGCTAGAGAAATCTCTTAAATTGCACTCTTATCACTTTACTACTTAAGGTCTTTGTTTGGTTCCTATGTTGTCTGGGTCAGGTCCACACTTTGAGGTTCAAGGGCCTTGGAGATCTAGCCCTTTGCCATCTTTGTGTGTTCTTTTTGCAGTTTATTCTACCACAGATTCAGACCACCATCACCTACCAGCATGGTTGCTACTAAGTCTGTTAGTAGACTCTGTTCTCCACAGAGCAGCAAGGATGGATTTATTTTTCTTTTTTCTTTTTTGAAGACAGTCTTGTCTTTGATAGACTGCCGTGACATCACAGCTCACAGCAACCTCAGACTCTGGGCTTAAGTGATTCTCTTGTCTCAGCCTCCCAAGTAGCTGGGACTACAGGCACCTGCCACAACACTCCACTTAATTTTCTGTATTTAGTAGAGACAGGGTCTCCCTCTTGCTCAGACTGGTCTAAAACTTTGAGCTCAGGTAATCTCCCATCTTGGCCTCCCAGAGGTGGTTTACAGGTGTGAGCCATCGCAGCTGTGTCTTAACTCTTTACTGCACAAGTCTGAAATTTGGAAGAAGGTCAGGAAAGGGGGTATATACATCAGGGGGTAGTTGGCCTATAGGTGGTACTTAAAGCCATAAAAATGTTTGGTGTCATGATATGCATTTGTAAAAACTAACTAGTACATGTAAACCTGAGTTGGATGAAGTGAATGTAGGAAGGACAGCACCAAGGGCTGAGCCTGGGGGCCCTCAGCATTAAGGTATCTGAGAGAAGAGAAGGAAGCATCAGAGAAGTCCTGAGAAGAAGTAGCACTGGGGAGGTGGGAAGAAAACGAAGTGTCCTGGAAGCTGACGAAAAGGAGGGAAGTGATCAGTTTTCTCAAGTGCTCCTGAGAAGTTAAATAAGATGAGTGCTACCAAATGATCTTTTGGATTTAGGAAATCAAAGGAGAGGAATTGAGAGAGCACAGGCAACCCTTAAAGTGTTGTAAACAGGGGTAAGAAAAGAGTAATAGGGCTGCTCACGCCTGTAATCTTAGCACTCTGGGAAGCCGAGACTAGATTACTTGAACTCAGGAGCTCAAGACTAGCCTGAGCCCCATCTCTAGAAGCAACCAGGCATTGATTGTGGCAGGCACCTGTAGTTGGAGCTACTTGAGAGGCTGAGGGAAGAGAATCACTTGAGCCCAAGAGTTTGAGGTTGCTGTGAGCTATCACGCCCGCTCTGTACTCTACCAAGGGTGACGAAGTGAGACCCTGTCTCAAAAAAAAAAAAGAAATGAAAAGAGGTAGTGGCTCGGCACCTATAGCTCAACCGGCTAAGGCGCCAGCCACGTACACCTAAGGTGGCGGGTTCGAATCCCCAGCCCGGACCCGCCAAGCAACAATGACGGCTGCAGCCAAAAAATGGCCGGGCGTTGTGGCGGGCGCCTGTGGTCCCAGTTACTTGGGAGGCCGAGGCAGAAGACTCGCTTGAGCCCAGGAGTTGGAGGTTGCTGTGAGCTGTAATGCCAGAGCACTCTACCCAGGGGGACAGCTTGAGGCTCTGTCTCAAAAAAAAAAAAAAAAAAAAAAGAAAAGAGGTAGTAGCTAGGTGTCCTCAAACTGCGGCCCACCTAGGACATTTATCCGGCCTACCAGGTGTTTTTGCTGCTGCTGCCTGTCCTGCTTAGCAGCCCACTGGTCCCAGGCCCGCAGTCAGACCTTCCAATGGTCTAAGGAACAGTGAACTGGCCCCCTGTTTAAAAAGTTTGAGGACCTTGAGCTAGAGGGTAGTGGGGTTAAGAGAATGATTGTTTATTTGCTTGCTTTTGGATGACAGAAAAATAATAGCATGCTGATAATAATGGTCTATTAGAAAGCAAAAAATTGCTGTTGTAACTTGCTGTTTCCCCATACATAGCTTGGATTCAGGTCATGTTTGGGTTTTTTGGGTTTTTTTGGAGGCAGTCTCACTTTGTCACCCTTAGAGTGCTATAGTGTTATAGCTCACAGCAACCTCAAACCATTTATTTATTTATTTATTTATTTATTTATTTATTTTGAGACAGTCCTCACTTTGTCACCCTCAGTAGAGTGCCATGGCTTTACAGCTCACAGCAACCTTAAACTCTTGAGATTAAAGTGATTCTCTTGCCTCAGCCTCCCAAGTAGCTGGGACTGCAGGAACCTGCCACAAGGCCTGATTACTTTTTGTTGCCATTGTCATTGTTGTTTAGCTGGCTGGGGCTGGGTTCAAACCTGCCAGCCTTGGTGTATGTGGCTGGTGCCATAACCACTGTGTCAAGTCATGTAACCTCAAACTCTTGGGCTTAAGTGATTCTCTTGCCTCAGCCCCCCAAGTAGCTGGGACTACATGCACTTGCAACAGTGCCTGCCTATTTTTAGAGATGAGGTCTCGTTCTTGCTGAGGCTGGTCTCAAACTCCTGAGCTCAGGCAGTCCACCACCTCGGCCTCCCAGAGTGCTTGGATTGCAGGCGGTAGCCACGACACCTGGCCTATTTGTTGTATTTAATTGTAAGCATGATTTCAAATAGTTGTTTTCCCCTGCTAAAGGTTTCCTAATGTAGGTAAATACAACTCTGCCAGGTTGTATCTATGTTGTAGAGAGCAGCATCATACCAGGTATTCTTCCGGGGGACAATGGTGTGAAATATAGCTAGAACTTCCGGATGGAGAACGTAGGCACCCAGGGACTGATAGATACCTACAGTTTCTTCTCTCCCTCCCTCAGGGTGACTCCTCTGAGGGTTTCTTCTAATTTGATCTCATGGTTCTTGCCACTCCTTTCCCTGAAATTCTGTTCTCTCTGGTATTGCAGTAGGTGAACGTTAGCTTTTGTTCAAAAAAAAAAAAAAGAGAGAAAATAAATGTCCTAGTATAGCTGAAAGAGCACTGACATTGGAATCAAGAGACTGCCAGGCAGTCATGTAGAGTGGTAACAAATCTGAACTTTAGAGCTAGGTTTTCTGGGTTCAAATCACTTAGTATCTATGTGAGCCTGTGACTAAGATGGGATTGTTAGAAGGAGGTAAGTAAGTTACCATATTTTGCTGTGTAAAATGCACTCCCATGTGTACTGTGTATATTTATGTCTTGACCCAAAACTTACAGGAAAATGCCCCTTGAGAAAGTGGCCAGCTCTTGGCTAGGAGAAACACATCTGGATAGGGCTAATGCTCCCCTATAAACACTGAGCCCACTCTGTGAAGGTTGCCTCTCTCCCAGGAGCCCTTCCCTACCTGCCATGCTGGAAGCGTTGGCCAAGATGGTCACATCTGGGCTCGGCACCTGTGGCTCAAGTGGCTAAGGCGCCAGCCACATACACCTAAGGTGGTGGGTTCGAATCCAGCCCAGGCCCGCCAAAC